ACTAGGATATGCAAAAATTTAATTAACATGCAATACAAAATATTTGAGATAAACAAGGTAAAACTCAAGTGCGCACAACTGGAAAACAGTGCTAAGATGCCCTTCTATGTTTCTAGCTAGACATCAGGAAAATACTTCTTTATATGGTGGAATTTCTAATTCCCTTCACAGCAAAACCAGATTTATAACCATGAAAATCTGGCCAGGCTTCACTGAAGAAGGACTAAAGGTGTGGCAACAGTTATCCAGTACTAGATAACAACAGATAATTGAAGAATATTATGTAGATGCATTTTACAAAATAGATTAGCTGTTAGCTAGTGATAAGCATTTGTGAGATGCAAGGATGAAAAATGCGCAGTTGTTGACCATAAATATTGTAGCATGCCTGGAGAAGAGCAACACTCAAGCCATCCACTGTTTATTAAGACATTCCCATTCAATATTGCATCAGTTATCACACAGCACTTAAAACCTCACCAGTCATCCCTAAATATCTTGCACAAAACTCGAGTACTGGTATCTATTTGCTACTGATATTAGCAATACTTCCAAAACTAAAGTGTTATCCTGGTTTGCACACAGGTATATTGTATGCAAGTTTTTACCACTAGAAAATGTGAAAAATCATGGAGGCAGGGGAGAGAATGGGGAGTTTTGAGCTGGGACAGGAGGTGGGGGAAGGAGAAAGAGAGAAGGAGAGGAGAGAATAGAGGGGGAATAAAAACAGAGGGGAAAAGGAAGCTTTCTCAGCTACTGATACCCTGTAGTACCCTTAGTTTTTCTCTAGCTGCCCTTTTAAACCTATATCATTCTATAACTTCATTGGCTCTTTTTCCACAGTGCTAACAACTATATATACTAACTGGTTATTTTTTTATTGAAGCCATAAATACAACCATTTGTGAAAGACAAACAAATCCCTTGCAATTCATTACATGAAATATGTCATGGCTATACGGTAGGGGCTGACACTCTCTCCACAGCATGGCCTGAGATCTGAAGCTAATGAAGTTGGTGGGAATTTTGAAACTCATTTCAATAAATGTCAAAATAAAGCATTCAGATCACAAACAAATAACCAGGATCCTGCAAATTACTTCTATAGAATGACCATTCTAAATAAGGGTTTATGACTTGCTCTTTTCTGAAGAAGTGAAGACCCAAATTAAGTAAGCCAAGATTGCTCATATCGACTATAGGCTTCCTTACATATTCTTTCTACCTGGCAGCTGTAAGAGAAAATAAGAAAACAAAAAAAAAATAATAGAAGAAGTATATGAGAGAAGCTTTTTTAAGCTTTGCATTTAGGATGATGAGCAATACTTTCAGTAACGCCCTTTGATTTCAGGTGCTCATTTTAGAACACTTGGAATAAATCACATTGTTTAAGAGGAAACAGGAAAGGTGCTAGAATTTTCCACTAAAACTGCTTCCTTTAAGGAAAGCTCTCAAATCCAGTAATTCAAAATCAGAAGACACTCAAAGTGAAGAATGATTCTGAAAATATTTTACGTGATTTATTTTTACAAAAAGAATGTGAGAAAAATACTGAAAACAAGGTACCAAAAAGACTATTTGTTGTTTGCATTTAAATACCAATTTAAGTCACTAGTTACACTTTTCTCAGTCTCCTGTGATGCTGAAGTACTCATCCAAAACCTGCCTGTCCATTTCCTTTCTGGAGGACTCATGAAAAGTATCCCCTAGGTATTGTCTGAGCACCCCCAAATTTTCTCAGCTTGAAAGACCTTACAAACTCTTTCACAGTCTCAAATACTCTCTACAAGCACTTGGAATAAACACACCACTATTAATTTGGTTGGTGTGTGCAGGCATTTTCCCAAGTATCATGATAATCAGGCAGATTAAGACAGAGAGGGGAAGCAATAGATCCCACTGCTTTCAGCAGGCACTCACCCTGCTGGACTCAGACTCAGGACAGGTTATCCATGGAGGAGTCTGTCAGCAGATAGCCAAATGTGGGTGATTTCTGCAGTGTTCACTGCAGAAACATAAACACAGTTCCACCAGCCATCCAGTCACACATACATGCACACTTATTATGGGAGAATAAATATAGATAATTTATTCACAGATAAATTCTCTACTGATCACCAAAAAAAAAAAAAAAAATTTAAAAAAAAAATCCCCATCTGACAGGAATATGACAAAGTAAGACCAGTGAAAAACAAACTTAACGCTTTACATTCACTATCCTGTAGAACACTTTCCAGTGTTTTACTGTCCTAATTTCAGTCTTTCTGCTACAAAATTTATGATTTATCTAATTTATCTTGGAAATCTACATAAAATTTACAATGGTCACAACTGTGCATCTGAGATTTTTCATAGAAAAAATACTGCAAATATTATGTTGAAAACTAGTTGTATATCCCCTAATAAGAAAGCTATGAGAATTAAATATTTTTGCACATATCTTGATAAAATAAACATTTCCCTACATAGAATAGTACTTTGATGAACATGACAGTGTTACAAAATTAGAGTTTATTGGCTCACTTGAGCACTGTAGTGCTGTCACTACCTTGGATCTTAATGCTACTTAAAAACATTTAAGACATCTATTATTTTGATTGTATGAAAGTAATGAGATTATATGAAGTGTGGTCCCAAGCACACTTTTCAGGATGACTACTCAGTTTTAAATGTAGCCATTTCAAAAAAGAAAAACTGGTACAAAAGGGAATGAACACAGTAGGTATATCTTGCTTTCTAAAAACAAATTCTGGTACCTCGTATCATTTATGTAATTTTTTTAACAACAGGTTAAAAAAACAACATTCTTTTTATCTACTCATTACATGCAGCCATTCAGGAAATCTTAACATATTAATGATGTACCAATTTCATCACTTTATTCACAATGAAGAGACAGGTGTACCTCATCCAAGAAAAGCTCTTTGTTTAACTGTAATTATATTCCATCCAGAAACCTGCTCATGAAGAAAATATGCACCTCACTGTGGGTTCTCCCCACCTCTGTCTATACAGTAGGATGTACAGCAGGTTCCAGATGGTGCAGATAAAGATGTTCAACAAACCAGACTTTTCAGTTAAAAGCTCTGTTTTCCAGAATAACTCTGTTGCATGTAAGAATTTGACAGCTATCAAAAAATTTTTAGCGATCAGAATCCTAACAAAAGGTTTTAAAATATTCAATCTAAGACCTATGGTGCATCAACACAGATGACTATTACAATATACTCTGAGATACTAACTACTCTACCGAATACTACTAGGAAACTCAGAGAATAAATCCAACAACTGTCAAGACCTTCCTGTAAGATTGCAACAGCAATTCAAGATGCAGAGTAACAGTATGAAGCAGATAAAATGGTGAGGGTCTACTGTACATTACTGGGTACAGAATCAACATATTGCAGTGTCGGGTAGATTATAAAATACTATGGTAGACAAAAAAAAAAAAAAGCCAGTTATTACATGTTTAGCTTTTTTTTTTCTTTTTAATCAATAATTATAAACTGTAAAAATGCACCCTAATTCACTACAATAGACTATGCCCTGAGAAGTAACATTACACACTAAGCAAAAGCCGTTAGGAAGTGTCAGGTCTGCAGTTCAAAAGTGTAATATATGGAATTCTCTCAATTTTTCAGCAATAGAGTTGCTTCTTCAGAGAAGAGACTAATGAAAATTTATGCTAATTCTAGTTTTTCCAACTTTAACTACAAGATCTTTTTTTTTTACCTTTCTCCTTCAAATTCTCCCTGGAAAACTTGGTAAATATTGATAAAGCTCTTGCTTTTCACATCTGAAAGAGGATACAGGCCTAGCATGAGGTTCTGAAATAACTGAGTCCGATGAACTCCACTTAAGGACATCAGTCAAAGTACTTTTTGGGAGGTAGTCAGAGTTACTCAAACACAAAATTAGGCCACCTCACCAACGCTTTGCTACATTCTTCTTTGCTGGTTGAAAGAACAGAGAAGAGGCTGAGAAGAAACATACCTCTGAGTGCACAGGGAAAATTACAGACAGGGACACTGAACTTCCTTTGAAACTAACTTGAATGTTAAATACATTTGACAATTGGTGAGTTACACCCTTTTCTTTGTATCTGACACTGAGAAAACAGTAAGATCTAATTATACATATCTCTCATCACCCACTGAGTGCAAAGATGCATTTAAAAGTGACATCTACATTTCAGTGTCAGTTCACTGCTTTTTCCAAAATTGCTCTGTAATATACAATTCAGCAGTTGTGGGTTTTTCTTCCCACATTTTAAGTGCAATGGTTCACCTAGATTTAAAAAAAAAAAAACCAAAAAACACAACAACAAAAAAAACCACTCTCCCCTTACAGAAGGCAAAACAAAACTAAGCAAACAACAACTTGTCCAAAAATTTAATCATCAAATCTCTAAAGGCTCACAACTTAAATTATTCTCTGGTACTCACATTTTGCTCAGTGTATTATATGTTTTTGAAAAAGAATGCTTTTTGAGTCTGGTTATGCAGACAAACCTTCCCAAAACCCTTTGTTTTTGTTAATAAGTATTATACAGTACTGTTTTAAAAAGTCATTAACTATCTACTTAGGAAAAAAAAATAAATCACTCCCATCCATAAAGTCTAGCTACACATTCTAATTAAGCAGCACTAGAACAAAACTGGAAATGCCAGAAGTTTTGATTAGAAGACAAAAATCTAAGCTTTCTCACTATATTATCACTTTGCTTATTTGTCTTAAAACGAATTACATACAAGATAATTAATCAAATAGTATAAACTGACAAGTTACTTTATCCCCTATTTAAATGACACATGAATTTTGTTGTATAAAGAATATGTAAGCAGTCAATAAAATACAAATATGTAGACATGAGTACATTAAGAACATTAATCAGAGCAGCTGTAACAATGCATTCCAATAACTTCATACAAGTTTGTTACTGTAGCTATTTTTAATGCTGCATGTTTCTCCAGTGACTGTAACACACAAGACAAACAAAATGCCAGTGAAATAACAGTTACTGTATTTAGCAGCTGAGAATTTACCACTTAAAAACATGATTCCTTCTATTCCAAATTCTGTAGTTTCAAATTACATTTGTTCCTCGAAACCCTTTGTTTCTAGTACTAACAAATTTCTACAAAGACTAATCCAGTGAACAAAAATAATCAATTCAAATGACACATACTACAGCAGGACACAAAATCAGGAAGATGCTGAACTATACATGAAGATGTTTACAGTTGTACAAAGTTTGATTTTACATTTGAAGGAACTTCAGAGAGTTAGAGCCTTGTATTCTGCAGCTTCTGCTGGACATTTTCTCTGCAGGAATGTTCACTGACTAAATTTTTAGTCTCTGATCTCTGAAGCATGAAACAGCTGAAATACCTTATGTAAAGTAGCCATGCTTGGTATGTTAACTACCAATGACCTAAAGCCACTTTATTTGTTTTTGAACAGTGCCCAAGTGGGATTCTGCAGTAACACCAAGTGGTTAGATAGGTATGCTGCAATGATCATAGTTCCAGAACTTCACATCAGTTTTGAGCCTAATGCAGTATAAGTATTTCTTCAATCATTTCATGCATGAGGCTTCAGAACATGGACAGTTGGAAGCAATTTAGATACTATTTTCCTTTTTCATATAATTTATATTGTTACTATTAATAAATTAAATCTCGAATTTAACAACTTACTGTTTGCATTTCCTTCAAACAGAAAGATATGACTTGTTTCAATTTCGCTATTTAGTTTTCAGGTCTGCAAACATTTCTAACTATTCTAACTAGATTTAAAAATGAAGGGGAATATTTCCATCAGGTGCAGACTTTAAAAACCCACACTTATGAGTTATACTACAGCAATCAGTGTTTTGCAAAAGTAGCAAGAATATCATCACTTTCTCTGATCAGAGTTCTCAGAACCTTTTCCAAGTACTGAAATTCAATGCAACTCTATTCAGTTACATAGGACCAAATTCTGTTGTCCTACAAGAATGCATTATTTGTGCTGACATGAATAGGAACAACATACATGTATTTGAGGGCACCTGCTTAAATGTTAATGATACTAAGTTCAAAAGCAGAGAACTTCCACCGTACACCTCTAAGAATGTTAACTAAGACTCCAGATTATAGTCTGGAAGAACTATATAATGAGTTTCACATCAGATTTTAATATTAGTATTTTCTTCTGAAAGCCTCAGTCATTCTAGTGCAAGAAGAGAGAATCTCTTCCATTCCACGGAAGAAATGTTTCAAGAACGGTTCAAGAAATGTTTCTTATCGTGCTCCTATTTCTGAGATTGCTCCTATCACTAATGTTTTTCTCATGAACAGGTCATTTTTGTCAAGGTAAACAGAACACACAAATACATTACTAAGTAGTCTAGGACCAAGATACCTTGCCTCCTGGACTTCACACTTGCCAGGTTCATATAGTCATTAATGGGATACTGTTAATCAAGCTGACCCAGGCTACTATACATACTTTAATGAAGCATCCACATTCAATAAACATCAGGTCCCATAGGATGTGTAAAAGTTCTTGCTCAAGTTAAGTTCTTAAGTTCTTAAGACTCCCATTTGTACTTCAACCTCCTCAAACCAATTCCACACTTCCTTCAGACAACAATTATAGTCTTCTGCTATTATAACTATCAACCAAACCACCACAGCATCGCACAGCACCTCAAAGCTAATGACCATGTCATTATAATATCCACACCTATGGAGAGGCAGGGGTGGCTGCCCTCTGACACAAAGCTTTGACATGGAGATGCTCAAGCTTAGATCAGTCTTATCTATGTACTGTAAACAGAGGAGTGTACATTTAGAAATGTCATTGTTAGCTACCTGGTGCCTGAAATGAATCATGAACATACTACCAAAGACTGAAGGTGGTCTGTTTTCATCTTGAAATGCGAGAGTAAACTTCATTCATCAAACTACTTAGAAGTGCAGGAACTTCACATTTTGAGTGCTTTTTTGATTCAAAGTGACACCGTTTGAGAAGGCTACATGTATTTTTTCCTCCCTCATAGTTTCTCTCTCTGCCCAACGGAAACAGCATCTTGAAACTTATGGTCAAGAGGCATTTGCGGCAGGAGATAAATAAAGCAATTACAGCAAGGACACTAACTTGAAAATCTAATCCCCCCAGAGAATCGTCTGCTTTTCAAAGAGGCAATGTTGCCATTGTATAGACTTCCACAGTTGTAGAATGTTTCCCCTGGGTCTGTGGACCAGCACAACTCTACTAGTGTAAAAAAATCCCTTTTACAGACAAGTTCTAAGGAAATGACAAAATACACCATTCATATTTGATTTCAAATTCCCTTGAAATTTACAGTTATGTAAACAGAGATGTATGGTTGGAGTAGAGCTCTTCCTTAAGAGTAAAAAAGGAACAAGTGAAAAAACAACCAAAGAATGAAGCTCTTCAAAAGAACAAAAGGGAACAGTTAGCTCCTTCCTTGCTGTCACTTTTATTTTCAACTGTACAGCCTCAGAAATGGAGTTGGAAGAGGTACTTTGTACTCCATCCAATATTGGACCTGTAGGGTCTTGGTTAAGTACAAGTTACCAATGTGTGATTTAGCAGGGTGAGAATCTGTGATGTAAATAGGACATAAGAAATGTGTATCAAGTGTGATTATTCCTGGACTGTTGAAATTAAATAAATAAATAAACACCAAGTAAGAAATTAAGGTAAAGTAGTCTGTTTTAAGAAAACTATTTCCAAATACAGCCAAATACAGCTCTGACTGTGGGTGAACATCTGTTTGAACAATTTTCTGCCACATTTTCCTATATCTGCTCATCAAGATTTCAACCTTATACCTTCCTATCAAGCTAACATGGCAATCAGTAAGCAAGCAGAAACCCAGTTAAAACAGTAAAAGGCACGATAGGTCTAAAACTGTAACTGGAGACTTCAGAAAGAAATACTGTATTCTGGTGTCCTACCAAAGACTGCTATACAAAAATAATCGCACTCAGCAAAAGATACTCTGGATCCAATAAGCATCCAATAAGCATGATGCTATACAGGAACAAACAGGGAACAGATTTAGCCGACATTGACAGTTTCTCACATTCTTTTTTCAGACACTCTCTTTCACAAGCATTTCAAACTTCTTCTTTTTTACCTAATTTTTTTTTTTTTAAGTCAAATGATTCAGAGTCCACCTTAATGTAGAAGTTAAAAAAAAAGAAAATGTCATGGTATGAAGCTGGTAAGAGTGATTTCTTTAAGAGATTAAATAACAAACTGCATTTGCTTAATAAAAACATATGCCAGTTCTTTAATAAAGTGACAGACTTCTACTCTGAAATTTAGCTTTAGGACTGACCATCATAAGAGAAAGAAACACAGAGCTAGCTAGCACTTGCAACCAAGACATGCATTTGTGTCTGAAAAGAGAATATTGCACTAAGAGAAGAACCCTGAAACACTTCCTTCACTGACCTAGAAAAGTAACTAACCATTTTCTATAAGCAGTAGCAAACCTGGCTTGATCCACATCCCTACAAGTTGATAACACTTTATCAACAAACCGGTATTCCATTTCTGGACCAAGAGAGTCCTGCACAGGAGCACGTTTCAGGCGTTTTGTTTCTTGGGTATAGCCTTGTTTGCTGCTGGATTCATTCAAACCATCAACATCCATAGCTTGTGCCATGTGACCCGTTGCAGGACTGTGATGGGAATTACTCAGACTTTCATCACTGCTGTCCACAGATGATAACACTGCACTCACGAGAGGAAGTTTGTTGCTTAAGTGCTGTTGAAGGTAGAATACACACCTTCTTCAAAGGAAAAGAAAAAAAAAACAAAAAACAAAGTCATGGACTGAGAATAAACAGCTGTTGCTGCTGAACTGTTTCAATTCACTTGACATCCCACCAGATTTCCCTCACAGACACAAAATCTGCTGCCTCTGAGCATGCTGTACTAGAAAGGACTCCACATCACTTTTGCAAATCTACTGTTACCTAGACAGGAAACTGAATCCAGCTAGTAAACAAAACATTTTCTGCAGCCAATCTTCTGTCTACATAGTGTTCATTTTTTGTTGTTTAAACATTGGAAGTGTGAGGAGGCTCATTAAGATCATCTTGTGTCTCCTGCACAAATTATATGGACAAGTGGAGCTTACACCACAAGACATTTAAGCCTATTCAAATTTCCCACACAATTGTTCTGATTATGCTCTTGAACATCTTCTAAAGGCTTAATACACAGCAGATTAAAAATCTTTTATTGAGTGGTGCTTCCTAAAACCAGAAAAATTTGTTCGGAAGTATCATGTGAAGCATCATCCACAAATCAGAAAAAATCTCTTTTGACCAAGTACTCTTACCTATGACACCACAAGGTTTCATGCCCTGGGTAATTATCGATCAGTTCACTGCAGAGTTCCATCTCTTCATCCAAACGGCGGGAGAGATCCAAGCTTTGCTCCTCTGCACAGGCAGCTTCTGTTCCTGCACTCTCTTCCTCCTTCTGAAGGCTAGTGTTTTGCTCATTTACCATTTGATTTTGTACCAGTATGTTATTGTCAGTCACTGTTCTGCGTATCAAGGAATTGAGTAAGAACTGGCGGTAATGAAATCCACTATGGTCCGAGACATGCATGGATACCCAGTATTTAGTGGATGAAAGTTCATCGAGGAGAACCTGAAACAAAAAAACCAGGGACAGTTATCAACCAGTATAAGGGACAAACTTACCACTACGGCCTCTGTATTAAGGTAACTTCTTCTTTGGGGATTTCAGCCACTGTGGTAATGATTTAAGAATACACAGAAAAATGAACTGTCACTGAGCCTTTTCTACTGTGTGCTGAAAAACATCTTGGAAACCCTGCAGAACACAATATTTAATACTTCCTCCAAACTCCAAAAAGGCAGGTTTTTCAGAAACCTGCCCACAAGCTGAGTGGGAAAAATCCCCAAACCACTTCTGTTAAGAAATAAGCAGTGCTTTAAGAATCTCAGAATGGTTAGTAATAAATACTATTTAGAGGTGGCAAAAACTACACTGCTATTAGCTTTAAGTATTTTACTTCTTTACCCAGTGGACTGTGGGGGTCAGAAGGTAGGTGAGTTGCTTGAAAGGAAAAATATCTAATTTATACCTTCATTTTCCATGAGAGAATGTCAACCATAACATTATGTTTAAAGTCCTAGAGCTGTGAAATACAAAAGTACTTGTCCATAATAAGGTTGCTTGATTTTACTACTAAAGAACCCCTAGAAAGGCTTTCAGAACAACTTTAGTAAATACTTAAATTGCCAATTGTAGCTGTGTTTTTAAAACTGCTGTCTCCTGGGAATTGTCTCTTAATTCTGAGTGCTTTTAAAGCTTCAAAATTCATTTCTGGAGAGAAATGGCAAGTTTGGCTCCCAGACAAAGCTTTTACTTTGCTTTGCTTTCTTGTTAGAGCCAGTGGTTTGTTTTTATTCACAGGCCTTAACCTCTGTCCTCACACTGCTTCTCCTCTGGAGCTTAAACTATCCAAAGAGATCAAAACTTTTCTTTTTCCGTTCACTTCTAAAGACTCTTGAAAGTAATTTTGATAATTTTATGGTATACTCTTAACTTCTTAGGAAAGAAGGAATTTCTTCTACATAAACTTGCTAATGCCATTCAAATTCTGCAAACAAAACTGAATAAACTGGATTTTCTATATTGAAAGACAAAAATGTTTTTGACTGTCTAGTGTAAGAAAGAAGAAACGTCTATATCCTGTGAGAAAATCTTCCTACTGGGCCAAAACTTTAGCATTTTAAATCTTTTTCCAAGACCTTGAGCTGAGATTCAGTCTGCAGTAGCATTAGGATTATCAAACCAAAGGAAAAGGGATAACCAAAATCCTATTACACAGCCTACCTCTTGAAATCCTCCAAAGCAGGTCAACAGCTTTGTTAATGATAAACCTGTTTCAAGAAGGCATATTTAAATGATAATACAACATAAAATTTATGTCTTTGGGCCTCTGTTTCCTTGTACACTTCAAACTACAGACAAAGTTTGTATTACAGCAGAAATAAGCCCTAAATAATCCAGGTACTCCTTAGTTTCAGGCAACCTTGCAAAAATTAAATGGCTGTAGAAACACTGACTATTTTATCTGCCAATTTTTTGGCAAGGTTCCAGTCCTGCATCTTGTTGAAATTTATTGTACTTTTCAGGTATTCAAACACAGAAATTGCTGAAGGTGGAACATGAGACATCAAGCAAGTAAACAGCCTCTAAAAAATGGTACGGATGGGGTGAGAAAAGCCAAAGCAAAGCTGGAACAGGACTTAGCAAAAGGTGCAAAGCGGACAAGAAAACGTAAGAATTTATTCACTATTGTATTATACCTTGACAGTGAGCTTTGCCAAATGCTGTAGAACCCAGATGCGATGGGACCAAGCATTGTAGTTGCTTGGATATCTCCCAGCAGCCTCAGAGCAGACATCCATTTCCTCCTGCACTAGTCGGTGAATTCTCTCCACAGGTGCTGCTCCCAAGTTTCCTTTAGTTGCGAGGCTGGGCAAGGAGTTTTCCTGAATTAGTTGTTGCAGCACCCATCGCCTGGTTAAATGATGTAAAGTGTTAATGGTGAGAGAGCAATTTTAAGAGAAAAAAATGGTTCTTCATTTGCATAAATCAAATCTTTCCAGTATTTCCATTCTCTGAACTACACTGTAGCTAGGTAATGAGTAATTAACAACCATCTGAATGCCTGCCACGCTAAAAGCTATGACACAACGATCACACCCCAACACTGCTATCAGTTTGCTCACTCTAAGTGATCATGGCTACTTACAGTATAACAAAACAAGGAAACAGCAAATTTACGAAAGGGTGCAAACTATGTGTGCATGAAATTTTTAATGGGATTCTCTTTCAAAGTCTTGCATAGCACCAAAATGAAGTAGCCAAAGTGAGACAGAATGATTTAATAAAAAATTAACTCTGTTTAGTATCTTTTACATCTGACAGTGCTGCACACCACAATTCAAGTTGGTTTCTGTATATCACCAGCAGCAGCAAAGTCCAAAAGACATATAGTTTCAAAGGCTATAGGTATAAGTAAAACAAATTTTTTACTTATGAATTACATATATTTGATTTCATGTGTCTGAGATAAGCACAGATTCCTGGATGTTTTGGTTTTTTAATTCTACTTTGGACAAAGTTTTAGTAGTATTTTTAGAGGCAACCTCAATACTCCATCTGCAGCCCCAACACAAAGATGTGTATATTTCCACAGAACAGCCCAGATCAATGGAATTGTAATGGTCCAATGTAGAATGCTCTGCAGAAATGGACATCCTCTGGTGTGCAACACAGAGGTTATCCTGTTTCGTACGCACTCACATCGATTCCAAAACCATTGAATTCCTACTTTCAAAGGTGCCAACATTTCTTTTATCTCCAGGTTAAAAGCAATCAATAAAATAAAAGTAATAAATTCACTTTCTTGAAAGAGAGAATTCTATTTTGCAAGCCATATTTAAAATTATGTATCTAGATATACATATATAAAGTAGCTAAGTTAACCATGTATTAAAAAAAAATTACTCATCTGCTTTCTCTCTCATTTGAAGACATTCATAATATGCTTATTTACTTGTGGGCTTTATGTACATTGTATCTTTTTCACTCAGTTATCAAAAAAGGACAAAGATTGGAAGACAATATTAAAGATAAGAATACAATTTTAAACTATGTTTCTAAGCAGAAAATTACAAGCAGTGTATGAATACTTTCTTCCTATACACCATTTGTTTCAAATAAAGGTGTACAGCTAAGCAAATCATGCTCTGTTGTATAATAGTATTTTATGAAATGTGGTAATTTGAAGATTTAACTTTTAATTTTTAAAAATGTCTTTGATCCAAACATCACCTTTTAGTATTTTTTTTACTTCAGTCCACAGCTATGCAAGAAATGGAAAATTCAAAAATAGTCTAGGCAAAAAAATGCAAATGGGCATAGACACTCCTAAACAAAAGATACGCATTATTTTATTAACGTCATCTTCTGAGTAAAACCATAAGGACAAATTATTTTGACTCTTTAATTATTTCTGTTTCTTAAAATAAGCATATTTTATGAAACAAGGAAATCTGATAAATTATATGTGCAGAAGAGAGTGAAAAATACAGACTTTGCGGGCTCTGTGGCTACAGCATCCAAAAACCCACAAAATTAAATTAGAGCTACTTTATCTAGACAGTGCAGTCACAACCTCAGAAGATTTAAAATATATTTCTGGAACTTGATGAATATCATGGAATTATCTTGTTTTTCTGAAAATTTTCCTCCAATTAATTTGGAGTCACTTTCAATACTGCATGTTCCTATTGCTCTCACAATTCCTGGAATTACTATGAACAAATGAAGGATTCGT